AAAAGTACAGTAACAATGAAGTGAACACAGTTAAAGGAATTCGGAATCAATTAGTAGTTGGCAAAACCTTTTTGAAAGAAGAGTTCTCATATATAAAATACACAAATACGTAAATCAAGAAAGGACTGTCAAGTTATTTAGAACAGAGTTTAAGCAAAGAAAAGTTCAGAATCATAAGCAAAGAGATACAGGTTCAATCTGCAGACTCATAGTGGGTCTGAGAGTCCAGGGTCCCCAAAGTGGAACCCTAACTCAAATATAAAATCAAAATCGAGGGAAACCCCCAAATCCTAGGGTTTCGCAATTGAGTCAGACATGGAGGTGAGAAAGCAAGCCATTTGTTTCAGAACCTCATCAAAACAGATATGATAGCATGCTTGAACGACAAAGGAAGAAAAAAATCATGAAGAACATATTTGAGAAAACTCAGAACCTAAACAAGTTCAGAAAGGGGGAGATAATACAAACTTGAACACAAGTAGATGAAGCATGTAAGAACATGAACAGAATCCAGTAAACAAAATCAAATAACTTAACGGTAGACACATATAGTAAAAGAGTAAAGAAGACATAGCAAAGATTAACAGGAGTAACATGTATAGTAGCAAAGAAAAGGTAAAAGACAGTACATGCTAAAATAAAAGAAATCACACGAGCAGGGTATAGACAAACACACATAAAGCAAAGAAGAAGAAAAAATCAAAAAGATTTTTCCCAAAAAATATTTTCAGAAACCCTAAAATCGGAGAGAAGCGATTTTGACAAAACTTTTGGGGAAAACACTTTAGATGGCAAAAAAAAACATAGATGCAGTATAGATCTAACCAAATAATGGTGAAAGAACCTCGAATAGTTTAGGGTTTCGGAGAAACCCTAGAAATGAGAAAGGCTTGGAAACAGGCCCAATCTTGAGTCGGAAAGGTCAAGAATCAGGTTCCTCAGCCTTGAATCTGCCGGAGCATGGCCGAGAAGCCATGGAATCAAAGATCGGAGAAGATAGGAGGGAGAACTATCAAAGTCAGCCTTCCAGACTTCGAACATTCAAGGTCTAATGGTGGAGAGGGTGGGTAGAGACCATCCATGGCATGGGAAGCCATGGATTCCGGTGAAAAAATACGGTGAAGGAAGGTGGGAAGAGGCTAGGGTTCCGAAGAACATGATGAGAGGATTTGAGAGTGTTTGGGGATTCCAGGGCAGCGGGTCAGGTGAGAATGAGGGGGATTAGGGTAGGTCATTTAGTTTAATTATGGAAGGGTGAGTTTTGGCCGTTGATCTTGAGTGATCAACGGTCCAGATTTAGACGGGTAGGTGGGGAACGGGTTGGGTCGTTTGGAATTGGGTCGATTAATAGGGTAGAATTGGGTCAATTTAGGGGCCAAAATTGAAATAAAATGGGACTGTAATTGAAATAGAAATGGGGCTAAAGAAAACAAAGCATCTACAATTAGAATACAAATAATCTACAATTTATCTACACAATATCTACAAACTGGGTACATTGAATTTTTATATCCCAATTCCCATTCAATTGTAGCATAATTGGTATTTTTAACATAATTGTGTTTTTTCAGAAGATTTGTAAAAGTTTTAGCCGTTTTTTATTTGTGAAAACAGAAAATAAAGCATCTACAATCAGAATACAAATAATCTACAATTTATCTACAATTTCTGCAATATGTATTCTTCTTCTTCGAGTTTCAATTTGAAATTCAGTCAAAACCAAGTCTAATCTTCACCAAAACCCCTCAAAATTGAGATATAAACTCCAAACCATATTCCCGATTATTTTCAACAACACCAAATCCAAACAAATAATGATTTTTGAAAACCCAAATTTGAATTCAAAGCTTTCAAGCTTTTTAATGGCTGTCAATGGTGGAATTGCTGCTCTCTTTTCATTTGCTTTGTATTACTGAAATTTGCGATTGAGAAATAGAGAGAGATGTAGAGAGAATGTCGACGAACTGAGCTTTTGCAGAACTGATTTCTATAATTTGATTCGAATTTGTTGACGATTTTATCTTTTTTTGATTTATGGCTTAAGGAAAAATATCGAAGAACAGAGTTTTTGCAGAAAAGAGTCTATGTAATTTGATTTTAAATTGAAGATATAGGATTTGCGTTTCAAATTTGATCTGAATGTCGCTAAATCAATTAGAATATTCTGTTCCTGATTTGTAGCGCGCCTAATTAGGAAGGAATCAGCTCCTAATAATTAGTATTTAATGAATGGTCTAATAATTGTAGAAAAACTATGAACATGACGGGTAAATATGAAACTATGCACATTTTTAGTAATAAGATTTCATATATGGTATAGGAAGGAAAAAGTCTCTTTTTCTTTCCGGGGAAAAAAAAGCCAATATTGACCTCAAAGGGTTCAACTGGCCATTTCAATGTGTAAATAAGAACTATTCATAATATTCTTTTTTTGATACAAAATCATCATGTGAAATCAAGTTATTAAGATAGCAATATATAAAGAACAATATAGAAGAATCCAGATTATCAAACGTAAAAGCCAAGACTTGAAAAAAAACACAATAATCCATCCATACATCTCTGAAGTCACCACTTTTTTCATAATCAAATATATAATTTCCCTTTTTTTTCTGCAAAATCAAGAAACAGAGAGAAACTCCTCTGTCCATACAAAATAAATACATATAGAAAAACGGACTGATATTGATGATCATTAGAACACAAAATCCTACAACAATTCCCATAACAATCAAATGAACATCTTCTCTACTAATTACATCAAAATTCACTAACTTATATATTATTGAAAAAGCAAAGTCATGAAAATCAAAGGAAAAATAGTGGTGATGATCATCATATTCTTCCAGCTGATTCTTGATTCTTGAATAGAGATTGAAGATGAAGATTGATCATTATCAGAATGAGGAGGCTTTCTATAATAAAATGGAAACCAAGGCACTATTGGTTCAGGTGGTGGTGGTACTTCACCATTTACAAAATCTGGTGGAGAGTTATCATAATCATTTGGTGGATTATTATAACCAGCTGGTGGCGGATTGTAATTAGTTGATGGATTATTTGGAACATACCCTTGTGGAGATGGTGGAGTTGTAGTTGCCGGAGGAGGGTTGTTTCCGGCGGGACCGGTCGGCGGCGGATAACACGGGTAAGGGCATTCTTGGGCTGTGATTCTTGCCGGAAAGTTGAGTATTAGCAGTAGAAAATATAGTAGGGTGAAGAGAAGTTTGTTGAGTTTAGACGCCATGTTTTGTGTTGTAGAAAGAAAGTGAAGGAAATGAAGTAGGAAAATAAGTCTATGTTTTTGAGGGGTTTACTTAAGATTAAGGAAAGAGGCAAAAGATGCAAAAGTATGGAACAAAAGCAAGAGCAAGGCTTTAATTAGGTTACTTTGTATATGTCCTTTGATAATTTAGGTGGGAGAATATTGTCCACCATGCAAATATTTTTTTTTTTATCATTTATTTAAAGTTAGGTGTTAAAAAAGAATTTGTTAAGAGAGGATCTTTTGGTGGGGGAGGAGAAAGTACTTAATAAGATAAAGTTTAATTATAAGTATAGGTGATGTGATGTTTTCATCACTTTCTAGTAGTGAAACTTCAAAGCATGAGGGTGTTTTGGAGTTATCCTTTTTTTTGGCTGTCTTTTTCTTTCCAAGAGTATTTAGGAGATTTTCGCATCTGAAATGTGATCGGAAAAAATTCATATAATTGATCCTAACTTACTCGAAATTAAATTATAGTTATTGTTGTTATAGTGTTTAGTGATGGACATTAAAATCGAGAAATTGAAAAACTCGAACGAACAAGAAAAGACGCACATTAAAATTCAAATATAATCAAAATACTGAATACCAAAGTATCGAATTGGAATACGCGGACGGCGGAACACTCACCCTAGTAGTGTTGAGGAGTTTTCCGTAGTTCACAATTTTTTGTAAACTTTCTAGGAAAATTTTGTAAACAACAGTATGTTTGTTTGGTCTTTTCTAGAAGATAATTTTACATATGCTTTACCTTTAAACACAACTTTGAAGCATTTAAGAAAAATCATTTAGGAAACAGAAAAATACAGTTGTATGAATATTCTCGAAAGTTATACGAACTTTAATATGGTTAAAAGTTTTATTTTTATATGTACAGATTTGCCAGTTTTAGAACTTAGGCTCAATAATGCTAAAAGATGCTCAAACAAAAACATGGTATTAACAACAACGAAATAGATGGCTGTGTGTGGGAAAAGGACAAGAGAAGGAAACTGCACCACCAAGCTATTTTAGGGTCAATTCCAATTGGTTAACTTTGAAAACGTGTTGAACCAATTTTAACTACTGAAAACCAATATTAATATCAACAAAAGAAGAACTAATAGTATAAACAATTTATAAAAAGTTACTAATTAATAATGAGGAAAACCAATTATTTTAATTGCTCTTTTGCTGCTTTCCCTATTTTTTTTTTTTCCTCCTAAAAGTTGTTAGTCAATCTGTATTGCTGTAAAATTAATAAAACAATAAACTTTCTGAAAAATAGAAACATAAAGTTAGTAGAACTAGAACGTCAAAATAAATTCTGAAAACAGTATAGGAATAAATCGAGCCCACTGAATACACAGTGTGTCCTTAAGGAAATTATTCCCCTCAAGAACCCGAGGTTATGGAATATATCCTTCCAGGATAGAACGATTTAACTCACCAGTGTATTGGTACCAAAAACTCTGGTGATCGGCAAACCACTTAATTAATGGTCGTAAAACACACTGGAAAATACTATGCCGAAGAAGAAGAAGATAATAAGAAAATTTAGTAAGTAAAAATTCTGGGATTGAAGGAATATTTATAGCCCATTTGGCATTGTTTCTGAAAAGGTTTGCAACCTTTCAGAACAGTCATAGCTGTTGGAACAGGTTTGGCACATTTTCTGAAAAGGTTTGCAACCTTTCAGAATAGTCATAACTGTTGGAATAGGTGGGGAAAAATTGCGGGAAAAACGGCGGGTGTAACGACCCGGCCGGTCGTTTTTGGAATTTACGCCCCGATCCCCTATTAACTGCTTCCCCAAGTTTATTTTTGCTATTTTGATTTGCCGGAATGTTCGGTTTTGAGTTTTGGAGAGTTTTGGGACACTTAGTCCCTAAATGAGAGCTTAAGTGTTGGAAAATCGACCGTAGTCGGAACAGTCTGAAGACGGCCTCGGAATGGACCGATGTATTGTACTCTCTCCACCAGGTCATCATAAGAAAATACTGAAAAATCTTTCCAAAGTGAGAGAAGGAGGGAAGGCGCGCTACAACTAACATAACAGCCAGCTGAAAAACGTTAGCTAGCTAGGCTAGCGCGCAATGGCTTTCTCTGATAGGGGCTTGCTTTGACATTCCTTATTTCTATTTAACAACGTATGAATAGTTCCTTGAGATTGGTTAAGAGATTGTTGAATTTTTGCCTTGGAATAACTACGATCATGTACAGAAGTGTTGTCCTTCGTCTCGGCAATATGGAACCTCTCAACAGCTCCCGTTCTTTTATGGGGTCCTATCGGGATAGGTAGGCCCAAGCCTTTCCCCTCCCCCCTTCCTCCATAAGACCCTCTTTCTCTTTCCCTCCCACGAGTCTTTTTTGCAATTTCATCCATCTTTTTTAACCTGATACCTTTGCAGAGGCCATATCTCAACCCTGCTGGCAGATCTGATGGTTCCGTTAGCTCCGTTAGGTGATTTCGGATTTAGGGGCGTGGTCGGATTGTGTTTTGGAGGTCCGTAGCTAATTTAGGCTTGAAATGCCGAAAGTTGAATTTTGGAAGTTTCCGGTTCGATAGCGAGATTTTGATCCGAGGGCCGGAATGAAATTCCGGAAGTTGGAGTAGCTTCGTATTGTTGAATGTGACGTGTGTGCAAAATTTCAGGTCATTCGGACGAGGTTTGATAGACTTTTTGATCGAAAGCGTATTTTTAGAGTTTTTGAAATTCTTAGGCTTGAATTCGATGAAAAATAGGTGTGTTGATGTTGTTTGAAGTATTTTGAAGATTGGTACAAGTTTGAATGATGTTTTAGGATTGGTTGGCATGTTTGGTTGAAGTTTCGGGGGCCTCGGGTGTGTTTCGGAAGGTTAACGGATCAATTCGGACTTGAAGAAAGCTGCTGAAATTTCAGCTTCTGCGGTGAACAGTAACCGCACCTGCGGGAGTGAATAGTAACCACACCTGCGGTGAACAGTGACCGCATTTGTGGTGAACAGTAACCGCATCTGCGGTGAACAGTACCGCACCTGTGGTGAATAGTAACCGCACCTGCGGTGAACAGTAACCGCAGGTGCGAAAATTGCTGGACAGACTATTTCAAGTTCTGAAAATGGGACTTTGTCCCATTTTCCATTTTTGGCAATTTGGAGCTCGGGTGAGGCGATTTTTCGAGAGATTTTCAGAGGAAACAACGAGGTAGGTGTTCTTAACTTAATTTTGGTTAGATTACTCGAATCTATTACTAGTTTTGGCATTTAATCCGTGAATTTTGTTGGAAAAGTTTAAAAAACCCTCCCGGATACAATCACGGATTTGAGGGTCGAAATGTTATAGGATTTGGACAATTTTGGTATGGTTAGGCTCGTGAGAGTGCGAGCTTTCTGGAAATATAAATTTTACCCTATTCCGAAACTTGGGCCCGAGGGGCGTTTTGGTCATTTTACATAATTTCGCATATTAGCTTAGAACTTAATCGTAGATTCAGCTTCTTGAAGTATTATTTACATTATGAAATGGAATTGAATAGATTTGGGCCATTTGGAGTCGGATACTCGTGGCAAGAGCGTGGTTTCTAGTTGATTTGAGCCGGTTCGAGGTAAGTGGCTTGTCTAACCTTGTGTGGGGGACCTTCCCCTTAGGATTGGTATATTTGGTAACTGAATTGCCTTGTGCGTGAGGTGATGGGCGCGTACTTGTGCAAAATTATTGGAAATCTGGTTTTTCTTGAAGTATTCATTAGCATATTTCTTTTCCTGCTTTATTATGCTTGTAAATTTAGCATGTTGTTAGTTAGAAAAGCATGTTTGGTTGCCTTAAATTGCATATTTTCTTAAATTGCCTTGATTGCATTATGTGAAGCATGTTAGGCTAGGATTACTTGTTGCCTTGATATGAAATTTCCATTTCTGAATATCTTCTTGTTGTTGCTGTGTGTTTACATTGGGACTACGGATGTGGGATTCCGGTAGCTCCCCCTTGTCTGTTTACTTTGGGACTGCGGGTTCGATTCCCGATAGATCCCCCTGCACATTTACTTTGGGACTGCGGGTTCGATTCCCGGTAGATCCCCCTGCACATTTATATTTGGGGACTACGGATTGAGATTTTCGGTAGATCCCCCGCGTATTGAAAGATGGACTACGGGACGGAAATCCCGGGAGATCCACTGGATAGTTGTGGCAAGAGGAAGTTCAAAAGTTGCTAAAAATTGGTTCAATTCGTGAGGTAAAATATCCTAACTGGTTAGCTAATACTGTTGTGGTTCCTAAGAAGAACGGTAAGTGGCGAGTCTGTGTAGATTACACAGACCTTAATAAAGCCTGTCCAAAAGATTTCTTTCCTTTACCCCACATAGATCAGTTAATTGATGCTACTGCAGGGCATGAGCTATTAAGTTTTTTTAGATGCATATTCAGGCTATAATCAAATCAAGATGGATCCANCGTAGGATGTTTTTGAGGTTGTATGCATGTTTGGTTTGGAGCCCTGAGGGCTCGGGTGAGTTTTGGATAGGCATCGGATTACATTTCTCATGTTTTAAAAATCTGGTATGCTGGCTTCTGCAATTTTCGCAAATGCGAAGGGAAGACTCGCAATTGCGAGCTCGCAAATGCGAGCATTGCTTCGCAATTGCGAAGTCTGGGAAAATGGGGCACTGTCGCAAATGCGATCAACACTTCGCAAATGCGAAGTCTGGGGAAAAGGCTTGGGATCGCAAATGCGATCCATTGGCTCGCAAATGCGAGGTGGCCCTGGTCGCAAATGCGATCGAATGTTCGCAAAAGCGAAACCTGGCGGCCAGACATGGGTTCGCAAATGCGAACTAAGAATATCGCAATTCCCAGCCCTGTTTTGTTCGCAATTGTGAACCATGGTTCGCAATTCCCGTATCCGAGGCCCAGCAAATTTTATACTTAGTCGAATTTTCATCACTTTTCACCATTCTTTCAAAACCCAAACACCATAGGCGAATTTTCAAGAGCAAACTTCATCCCAAATCACTTGTAAGTTGATTTTTACTCAATTCTTTCAATCTTTAACATCATTAAACATGTTTTCCACTTGAAATCAAAGATTTTCATGGGTGAAATTGGGATTTTTGGGTAGAACCTAGGTTTTCTATAAATTGGGGAGTTGGACCTCGATTTGAGGTCCGATTTCAAAACAAATTTTACATTTGAACTCGTGGGGGAATGGG